AGTATTCGCGGAAAATGCGCACACTCCAAAAGGCGCCGTTAGCTAGCATAGTATAAATGAGCAGCAGAACCCACTGATCGCCGATAGCATCGTATACGGAGCAGAAGACATTTTCGAAGAGCTTAAAACTGTTATTGGCTGGTTATTGATTTTCAGTGCATTGTCGAAAATCCTTGGCGGCAACGTGAATTGTATTCCGCGAGTAACCGCGTAACAAAACGTGAATTAATCTTTCTCAAGCTGGCACCACAATCAGTTAGCTCAAAACCAAATATGCCACCACTTAGAACTATTTATTTGATAAATAGTTACGCAAAATTAATTTTTTGCTCATCAAATTTTTGCTTACTTATTGGTGGAGCTAGCTTAAAATTAATTTCTTAATATTTCACATCACATGAAGACCAGGGCGGCTCAACGGTCTCACGGCGCCAGCGAACAACTACTCCGGGAGCGCATCCATCACAGAGCGGCTATTGCGAGTCAATACTCAATAGCGAGAACTGTATGGACTGCGCCTGAGCATCAGCCACACCCTACAGACTGAACAGCAGATCATTTAACAACGCTGATAGTTCCCGAGATGTCGCGACAAGCTGCCAGGTACGAAAATTCACCAACTTAAGCAGGAGAGTGCTCAATCGGAGCCCCAGGTCCTCCGCTGGCTAGTGAATCGTTTGACACGGCCGCCACAACCGCACTTATCGAGGACTCAATTTCGCCGTCACCCCAAGCAGATCCTACTGATGACGTCACCGCCGCGGCGGTGGAAACAGCTCTGCGCTGGCTACCGGAAGACCTTGCCGAAGACCTAAGACGGAACACGAGCGCTATTCTGAACGCGCCAATCCCCAGCTTGCAGTATTTCACGTGATGAGCGATTGGCCTTGAAACACCTTAAGTAGCGGGATAACATCGTCATTCTACCCGCAGATAAAGGCAACGCCACTGCGATCACGGATAGCGCCGAATTGCATGCCTTGATGACCAGCATACTGAGTGACAGTAACACATATCATAAACTGCACCTCAACCCTTTGCAGAAGGTGAGGCAACAAGTATGTACAGCCACAAATGAAGCGTCTTGCAGCAGTGATAGGAAAATCCTGAAGTTCCCCAATAACCACCGCATAACGCGCATCTATGGCCTACCCAATTTCACAAACCCGAAGTTCCTCTCCGCGCAATAGTAAGCGCCATCACTCACCTACCCAATATTTGATAGTTTCTCGGCCTAAAACCTAAAATCTCTCGTCCTCCGTCAACTCCAACAACATTCGTCGAAACTCATCCGCTCACCAGAAGTGGCCCTGACGATATCCTGGTCAGTTGCGACGTTACCTCTCTCTTCTCCATGGTTCTGGATAGTGACGCCACGACCAAGAGATCGTCGAAGACAATCTCTTACCTGCATCCGCTTCTGAGGAGTGGGCCAAACTCACCGAGATTCTGCCTAACGACATTTTCCAATACAGGCCAGAGTATTGTATTCAGGCACCGCTATGGGCACTCCGCTATCTCCTGTTGTTCATGGGATCTTTCGAAAAGCAGGCATTAGAAACGCGCCCTTAAAACCGTGGCTGTGCTACGTCGACGATACATTCGTAATCTGGCTCCACGGCACCGAGTCCCTCCAAACATTCCTCGCGCTCCTGAATAACATTCACCCGTGCATTACATTCACCATGGAAACAGAACGAAACGGCCAACTCTCTTCCCTGGACGTGCTAGTAACCAGGCGCCCTGACGGCACACTCTGTCATTCTGTTAACCACAAACCTACCCACACCAGTCGCTACCTACACGCCGACTCGCACCACCACCTGCCACGAAACGTGGTGACTTTCCACCCTCACCCACCGGGCCTCCTCGTATGCGACTACAAAAGCCTTGAGTCTAAAAAGACACTATTCAGAGAGACCTTTCTGGCTAAAGGCTACAGCGGATCCGCCGTGCATCGACCCTATGAAACCCAGCCAACTATCTCGAAAGGAAGGAACGAGCCTTCCAGTCGCATGGCAAGACAGCTCGATTACCACACATCAGAGGAGTCACGAACGAGATCGGTAGATTGCCTGCGCAGACGCCGGTATAACATGCAACAAAATTAAGGGTTCCTGACTCAGGTGAAGGATTCGTCCGGACCCTCTTCCAGACGCCGGCATGTACGAAACCCGTGCAGTTTGTGGTCGTGTTTACATCGGCCAAACCGGGCGCACAGGGGTGGAAGAGCAGATGCGGAAACACATGCGGCATGACCGGCTACAACATATTCACAATAGGCCTTGGCCCTACACGCCGCGGAAACGGCCCTCGCGTGAATTACCAGGAGACGGTACTATATCTGCAGAAGACCAGTGGTGGTCTCGTTTAATCAAAGAGACCTTAGAGATCTCCAGGAGCCTACAAACTCAACAGAGATGATGGGCTCCGCCTTAGCAAACACTGGAAACGGGCCGTCGCTCCCTGTCAATACGGTCTCGCCCGCGGAGAACAACCCCGCGGACGGCCAATGACATGACTGCTTATTGGCCCATTTTCTTTGGCATTTCTTCCAGTCCCGACCAAACAGATTCATCTTGTGGAAGCCCAACCCGTTTACGTTTCTATCCTCTTCCATTTCCGCTCCACTTCCCTCCTCACACTTTATTTTAGCCTTTAGCCAGCGTGGCCATCCATGTAATCAACAATAATCAAATAATTTTTATTAATTACGAATTAGTTACATTATTGACCAAATCAGTAAGTATTATTCCAATATTATTCGTACAAATACAATTATTATACTATGCGTATAAGGAAAAATTAAGGTGAAGTGAAGGCACATTTTAACAGGAATCATCAAATGATACCGGCCGTTACTAAGTTAAGATTAGATTTTAGTTAGTTGTAAGTTTATTCATGTTACTGGCTTCACCCTCGCCCATACTAAAGTGATTAAAGTAGTTTTATGGAAATGCTGAAGTCTTCCTCTCCAAGTAGTTAGGCAAGCATGCATGCCTCCCTCTAGGGAGTCTGCCGACGAAGCAGCCGGGCAGAGCTGAATCGCCGAAGGAATCAGGTAATCGGGTGAGTCGGTGGTTACAATATACAGTAACATTAGTGGGGTAAACGTTTGGAGACACTCGCTGGGAGGCTGGCTAAATCTTGAAATTTCTTTCTATATATCTCACCTTCTCTGGTCAGAGATTTTTTTGGAAATTTTCATTGTAACGTTACTTGAGTACAATGAATATTTTGTTTTAGTCTAATTAAATATCGCTGTTTCTAAAAAACAATGAAATTTGCAACATAATTTGTTTATAATCAATTTCTTGATAGCGAATAAAGGTATCTGCATGCATTTTTCACAACTGAACAGAAAGTACAAACATTCGTAATAAAGATTATGTTCACATTCACCGTGTAAGTTAAAAACAGCAATTACACTTGATTCGCCGTAATCCGGAGATTAACAATTCAGTGAACAATCGAATACAATATAACGACGACATCCCCATTTAGCGCAGCGTCTTGCTCCGCGAAGAAAAGGCAATGCCAAATATTTAGGTTCGAGGCACCGTTTGGCAGTTACATGTGCAAGTGTTGAATCCCCCACAAATATCAACTTTTCCTTCCTATGGAGCGGCCAACTAAGCTGGACAAACTAAAACAACACGGAATACGATCTGAACAGTAAACGTGTGTATAAAAAGGTAGACAAACAAATGCAGTTTGTTTTGAGTTGCTAATTTCTTAAAAACAAGTATATATATTTTGAGATCGAAAGGCGATAGCGCGATTAAAGAGAATTTCTAATTGACTTTGAATAACGTGCATGCTCTTCGAAGAGCGAAATGTGGAAAAGTCGTCACAAAGAGCGATGCTTTCACAGATTCGCATGACGGACGCTGTACCATTAGGAACAAAGGAAGGAACGACGTTCAGAATTTATCCTCGGATGATCCTGTTTCCAACTGTGATTGAAGTTAAATTTTTCGAGGGGTAAGGAGAGGCCTTGAGGACAGGAATTCTACCAGAAAGTATTCAAATCGTTTCTTGAATCTGCTATAATGTAAAGTGCGAAAGAATGCATACCTCGAAGTGGAGTCGTTGGCTATCTCTGTAAAAAAAACAAACCTACAGGATGTTGTACGAAGTGAAGATCTTTTGTAGCTAAGATGACTAGGTGGTTCAAAGTTGACCGGTGTTTCTGAAGTCATATTGGAAATTCGTAGTTCCAGGACCCAGAGAAGACGATCGTTTACCATTCGATCTATAAGTTTAGTCATCGCTACTAAGCGAGAGGACAAGGTCATTTGATAGTATCCTTTCCTTCCTTAGGATTGAGTGAAATTGCTTCGTACCAAAGTTACTTCCAATTCGATTGAAGAGACTCAAGGAAAAAGCGTTGATTTTTCAGGATAAGCTTCACACTGTTTGTGTATCTGATCAGGTCCTAGATTAGAAGTTTTTGCCATATCGCCGCAGAAGAATTTTTCCAAAGTGCGTCGTAGTCTCCTT